ATTACTCTCACATGCAAATGCATCATTTTTTTCAAGTCAAATTTCATTTGCTGTGATGATTTTTCTTTCGGAGTGCTTTTTAGAATCAAATGGATGCCAAAAACAGTATGTTCGATTGATAAATTGACGTTTTTCTTATAAAGAACTTTATGCTCCAAAAGCATATGAGCGTGTAGAGTAAATCTTAGTATCTTGGAGTGAAGTAAAATGCCCAAAAAAATTTTTTAAAGCGAAAAAAGGATGTTTGAACAAGAAAAGTCACGTGCAGCTTGCCGATGTGTGCTGCGCAGCGAATTCTGTTGCCGTCTAAAACGGGATAACGTTAATTGCAAGGAAATGAAACAACTTGAGAAAGTATTTACAATCACTGAATATGCGCCATTCAACTCATGTCACAGATTCGGCTAATATCTGATAATATCGATGAAATTTCAGTCCGTACCTTCAACGCTCTTCCTTTTTGTGTAATTTAGACTCCTTAGATATTCAATTATATTCATATTTTTCTTATCACAGATGTTTTCTCATACGATACTTATATTCCCCTTTTACCAGATGTTTGAAGATCTTTCCCCCATTTCTTCCTTCTCGAAGCAATGTCATACAATCATGCCAACCTTTACAGAAAGCGGTGATCGACCCCTTTTCCATCGTTAATGATTGTTGTTGGCTCTTTTTTTATTTCATCGTCGGGAGTAAAAATTCCTTATCCGGTATTTTGATATGGAGGATAACAGTTATTCCAGCAAGAGACGCGTGCATGTGATTAAAAAACGCTGTCGTTGGTTAGGAAATCAGGTTTGGATTGCAGAAAGTCAGATACTTGTAGAACGCCGCTGACAGCACTTCTATTGAGTTTATGCTTATAACGACATAATTAAGGTCTAATCACAAAAGAATCAAATACTCGTAAGTAGCAGAGTATTTTGTGCGGCTAAACTACCATGAACATCAATAAGTCTTGGATTATTATCAACGCTTTTTTAAATTTTTGACACTTCATTCATTCGTTTTCATAATGTTTTCTTTCCCACGCTACGAATCCCAGTGCTTCTAGCTTTTAATTTGTTTTTCGTCTTCTTCTTCAACATCGTAGAATACTGGAGCGAGTCTCCTTGCAACGTGCCGTTATCACTGATTGTTAGAGAGAGTTGAAGGAGGAGCTGGGCCCCTCACTCACCGCAACGAGCATCACAACCACTTGTCCACGGCGCGCCTTTTTAAAATTAGTCGGTAGTTTATTCTAAGCAGGCACGGAGTTATCAATAGTTAGATTATTCCGGCTAGCTGATCTTCTGACGGTTTCCTTCTAATTATTCGAATGAATCGATGAACTCTCTTAGCAAAAGCTCCAACAACGCTGACTCCTCGGGTGTTGCATGTCTTGAGAAATGGTTCTCTCCGGTGTTGTAAGCAATGTAAAACAAGTGATGTCCTTGCAGCTTACCAAAAAGCAAAACGGTAACTAGTGGGAGTGATCGCGAACACACAACCGTCCCGTACAACCTGATCACGCACAAATAATAAGTTTCAGTGATAAGGAGATATGGCTAATGGCAAAACATCTTGGTATCATCTTAGTATGTTTATTTTTCAACACAATTGATTGTAAGATGGTTGCGAATATTAATGATGATGACCACTCCGAACAGGAAACTATTCACGGGAATGCGGCAACGTTGAGGTAAAATGATTAAGTTCAAAGTATAAGCCAGCAAATTAAAAAGATTAGCCTCACACTTTTTATATTTGCACCAAGTTTTTATTACACATTTATCGAAAACTATAAAGGTCTCAAAACACGCTAAGAAACCGAGACCAAATGTAAAGAATCACAAGCGATCGTCTATAATGGAGTCAAGCGATTGGCGAGGTTCAGGACAGGATCGTGGGGCGAGTGAGGACAGACATGGCTAATTCTTAAAAATTACACATCAAATTCGTTTAGTGATTTAAGGAAACTTAATGTGTGAACATTCCTCTCCAGATTAAAGCAAAAGCACTACCTTTGATTCCAACTCTCTCCACTAGATCATTTACGAATACTAGTGCCATGTGAACGACCGCACCGGACGCAAACATGTCTATATAAAGCAGTGGGTGTTTTATGTTCACCTCTATATCGGCCGTGTAAATTCATAACTTTTCATTAGGTCCGTTCCTCCCATCTGTTATCCATAAAAGCCTTCAAACTTTTTCTGTGTGTACTATTAATTTTATTATTACTATTCAATTTACGGTTACTATTCAAAGAATTTTTAGATATCAATTATGAGACATGTTGAAATTTGTGCGTGATCTTAGAAAAACACTCGTATGAAAATGCTTTTCCAGTGATTTCCAGTCAACAGCAGTGTAGTGTAGACATTCTTCATCGCCTACTCTTAGTGTGGGGACTGGAGCACCCACAGAGGATTGCCTAGAAGACGAAGGGGTTTGTTCGACTGGCGAGGCTGTTAAGAAACATGTGTATCGAGCTGTACAAGAACCCATTTAACGGACCACATGATAAGTTGGCTCAGATAGCAATTAAGAGATACAAAGAATTTTTGTTCTCGCCACAAATGATACTGGATGCTGGTGTAGTCGAATTGGTCTTCTTGGAGGCCAGAGAAAACCGACCGTACTACTGCCCTATCACACACATTTGAAGAAGTGAGTTGACCTAAAGATGTGTCGTACCAGCTTCCCAACTCCGAAGGGAGAAAAGCTTTGTGGCCAAGTCAATGCTGGAGTCCACCAGGCCGTGATGAGCAACGTCACTGCAAGTGCGCTACGCATAGGGCTGAAAAATTCCTATTTGTAAATCAGAGCTCAAAAGCATCATTGTCATTTATAGGTGAATAAGTTCTATAGCAACGCATTAGAAATTTGTAATGACATAGATCGTGCACAAACTTCCTTTATTGGTTCTATATCTTCCACTGGCACAAATGTTCAAGTTCATTCTTAGGTTTATATGTGGCTCAATTACCGCGATTTCCTTTCTACTGATTAAAAAATGCCGGTAGAGCACGGTTTCATGGAATTAAGATCTTTGCGCCACATATTGATGAATCTTTGCCACAGACGCTCTCATAAATCAAGGGAAGCGAGCTGTTCCGCTACCAGGTCTTTTTTTGTGGGGTAATATTCCTGTGATGATAGTACTGTCCTATGCTAACACTGACCTATCGATTGTGAACGATGTAAAGATCCAAACATATTATTATGCAGCCGAAAGTCTAGAAGAGTAAATTCGGCATATCAGTACTATTGGGTGGATAAAACTGTATCGCAAATGACAATTCAAAGGTGATTCTAGTTGCTGCGTCTTCCACGGCAGCTCAGATATGTCCAAGTGGGAGGTATACTAAAGTGCAGTTTCAAAAAGAAAATGAATCAAATTGATTTGTTCGTATTGAGGAACGAAGCTCAATCTATACCAAATATAGAGATAGATGAAATGATGGAGAATCGAAACTATAATGATTAGAAATTCTCCGCGCAGAGATCAAATCTAACAAGACGATACGTTTGAGATACGTCATGCAGCATTGAAATGAACTATCTGGCGTCTTCTCATCAACGAAGTGGTTGAGTACAGCTCTAGCGCTGCTGCAAGCGATAACGATGAAGGGCGGCCTTTGCGTTCTGCTTTTGTTCAAAGCTTGTACGAAGTTGTCACCGTGAACAACGATTTACGATATTCTTCAACCTTTCATAATATGTGTCATGTTCAGCTGTAGCACTAGTAGAGCGAAATCTTCTGTTAAGAATAGGACTTTTGATTTCTAATTAAGTTCTTAGCAGTTTAAATCTATCAAATTCTGAAAACTTTCGTGGTGGAGACATTAAGCCTTTTCATAAGTTTTAGCACTGGAGAAGTAAGCAACAAACTTACTAACCAGAAATAATTAGAACTGCTCAATAACACTATTCAAAGTAGAAGTCATCAGCCAAAACACGTTTCTGCCACCTCTCAAATAACAAATCCACACCGTGCTCGAGAACTCGGCATGCTTGGATTCAAAGAAAGTCGTCAATCTTCATGGTTCGTGTCGTCGCGCACCAGAGTTTTCTACGGCACAAGCATAAAAAGGGAAATAGTTAGGATATCATTTGGTAAATTGAGTTTCCAAGAGATCGCTCTCACTATTCAATGATGAAATATCACTACAGGGAATTCTATGGAGGTTTTATTTGTTTTCTATTGAAGGGACGCCATTTGTTGGGAAATAAACTATTTTTTAACAAGAGAAGCCACACCTTTCCAGAAACGAACACATTTCTAACAGTTATTCAAAATTTGCTTCCTTTTTCGTTCATGTTTTCATAGTCATTCGATAGCTTGGAAAATGTCGATTATTTAAGGTATGTTTGGTTTGCATTCAACTTTCATACCACGTCTTCCTAACCAATAAAAGGGAAGGTTTTGCAATCGTAGTCCATTTTTGGACTTCACAGCAGTTTTTGTTGTTATATAGTGATATTATGATTAGATATAATAATACTGAAGAGACACATGAAAACGTAGTTATAGTAAAAAGACCGTTCAGGTTTTTTGAAAAGGTCTATTGATCTTTACAAACTGAATGAAATGCACTCACATCGTGTGAATTTGATAATACTTTCTCTCCTTTTTCACTCAGCAAAACTTTTTCTTTAGACTTTTATTGATCATTCAACAGCTCAAGAACTGAAAAATTTAGTATTGAGCCATGTAATACTTCGAAATTATAGTATTTTTACTGCTTACTTCGCAGAGTTATGATGGCACTTATATAACTTAGAGAACTGAGTGGTGAGCAAAAGCACGACCTGAGGCGGGAATCGAATTCGCGTTTCATCGTATGCGGGACGCGTGCTCTAACCACTACACCACCGAGGCACATTTGCCCGACACTCATTCTTCAACCTTATGTTAGCTATCAGCCACCAATCTTTAACAGGTTTGGTCAGATATGCACAAACATCTCTTAACATAAGAGATGTTGAAGAATGAGTGGCCGGGGAAATGTGGCTCGGTGGTGTAGTGGTTAGAGCACGCATCCCCGGATAGGATGAAATGCGGGTTCGATTCCCAGCTGAGGCCGTGTTTATGCTCACCACTCAATTCTCTAAGTTATATTAGTATTGAGCCTTATTTATCAGAAGAGTTTTATATTAAGCTCTACTAGCAAAAAAAAAAAGATGACTTTGTGCTCAAGAGCGCATGTGGCGCAGTGGTTGGAGGTGTTTTGCATCGTGCACGAAGTCATTGGTTCGATGTCTCACTCATGGCTCACCAAGATTTTCATCGCCTCGGATCGGTAAATTTGTGCCAGACTTGTCCAGGAACATAAGCAGCACTGGCTCAATATCTCTGTAGGCCACAGCGAGTCATTGTAAAGGTCAGATTTGCACATAATCACCTCAAACCGATATGTAATTTGAAGACAAGTGCATGTCGCGCCCTCAAGGATTCTTCGAAGCCAGCTATATACTTCTGATTTTTTGCTCTAGGAGTGCGTTGTTTCGCCTACACCACAAACGTTGCCCAGTCTTATGAAATGTATTATGAATTTCAGTAGGTTGGAGAAAAAAGTCCTGAGAAAACGCTTGTGACTTTTTTTGTCTGTCGGCCATTTTTTTGTGTTTTTTGGCTCATTTGAAAGCCCGTCTTCTTCCGCATTGATTGGTATATAATTTATCTACTCATTTTGAGATAGAGTTAACCACCTGGCGACCAAGTGGAAATCTGGGTGCGGCACGCGACGTGCTCTCGCGGTGAGCGCGGCCAGCTACAATCACAATGCGGCAGGTACATATAATTTGAATTCTTACAGATTGAATTCTTGATAAACATTCTTACAGACTATATTAATTGTTTATAGCAAGTTTCAAAAACAGTCGATGAGGTGGATTGATTTATATCTATCAGCCGCAATCGCGATCGAATGAAAAAAGTGGCGATGACGCGATGTCACTGCACGTCGCGCTTTCACCACATATATCTTGCCTTCTTGGTCAATGTAGGCTCAGTGTGGGGCGTGAGCCATTGATGAAGAGGGTAGTATCTCCGAAAACGTGTATGCTCTGACGTAACAACTTCGGTAAGGCTCTAAACATTCATACAGACTACATGCATTTCGAGATCTACTAGCAGTCGCAACGTCTAGCCACAATCTGTAACCCAAATAATCGAAGCACTTCCTATCTCAGAAGTCCGGAATAATTTATCGATAGTGATACGCTAGTTGGCCAATAATACAGTGAAAACAGCCAGATGACACCCTTGTAGTGCCCTACGTGAGTTTCGGCCGTTCAGCCTCATCAGTTGCGATGCCTTTCGTTTCAGCCAATCCCATAAGAAGATATACTCTCTACATATAAAGAATTAGACAAAAGAAATGTCACACTACATACGACTGAAAAAATCAATTCGTATTGTAGAGATGACGAACCATTACATGTCAACACTCCACGACACTGCCGTTTTGGTTCTTTTATCACTTAAACCCTGCCTGCCTGGACAATATTCTTACTGAACGGGTCGAGTTAAAACGTTCGGGGTTGGCTCCTATAAACAGGAATACTGAACCGAAAGCCACTGTGCAACTAACGAGCCTGCAAAGATGAAAAACGTGTATTGCACTGCATAAGTGCCCAATACAAACCACATGCATGGCTCAAAATTAATTATTAAGTTTAAAAAGATGTGATCTTTCTCTAGTGTTATCTTATCACCTTTATGAGCAGAAATAATCATTTTCTCGATGAGAGAGAGCTAGCTTTCGAGTTGACGTTTTGAAGAATTCGATATGGCTATGAGCATCATTTTTCATTTACGAAAACTCCCAGCCGCTTAGCACATTCATTTCATCACACTATAAGCTTGCTTTTTGATCCTTCACATAAATTCCAAGATATCAATATAATATTTCGAAGCATTTGTACAGTTGAATCAGGACAGAATCACACATAATGAACGGTTTAATTTAAAATTTCACAGCACAGTTCGCGTTTTAGTTGACAGTTGCAGATGCTGAGATAAGGTGCGATCCAAGCGGACCTGATGCCAACAATAGAAGCGCTCTGTTCACAATATTTTGCCACATCTCTTTCGACCAACTCGCCATGATGATGTTCGTGGTCTGCATTGTACTTCTTACAAAATAAACTTGTGCAGTAAAGGAAGCGTTTCAAACCGTGAGAGTTCCGGAGTATTTTTGTGTGACTGGAAA